ATCACCTACAAGGAGTGCAGGCTACTCCACCCTCATCCTCTTCTTCCTTAGGTTTCATGTATCTTGTGCCATCTTCAGAGATTTTAGATGGGGAGGGATGGTCTTGCCTAAAATTCTCAGACTAAGATCTTTACCTTCTGTCTAATGAAGGTAGGACCACACTTCTTCAGAAGAATTTCATAGCTATATGCAAATGCTCCTTTATCTTTACAGTCATGATTACTTTTGCATTGTCCTCCAGATTCTTATCTGCCATTTTTCCCTGTCACTGTCACCTTCATTTCCCTCCCTATGTTCAGCCATCCTTCATAAATGCTTAATAAATTCTGGACTTTAATTCATTCCATATTGTCTGTCTGTATTTTCCTGGGCTAAGAACCCCTGACTTGAAGATCACATGCTTAATAGGTTTTTAAGTACAAATACATTGTCATGGTATCCCCCTCTGTACTACAAACTCTTAGAAGTTCTTCATCTTAAATAATTGAAATGGCATACCAAAAGCCAGGTGTGGTGGTACACATCAGTAATCCCAGTGACTCAAGAGGCTGAAGCAGGTGGATTGCAGTTCAAGGCCAGTCTCAACAAGTTAGCAAGACCTTAAGCAACTTAGTAAGACGCTACCTCCAAATAAAAAAAAAATAAAAATGACTGAAGATGTGGCTCAGTGATAAAACACCCCTAGGTCAATATCAATACCAAAAACTAAAAAAATAAAAATAAAAGGCATATACCTATTGATTTTCAACTCCTTACTTCCACCTACCTCCAGTTTTTGAAAACCACCACTCTGTCCTATCTTTGTCTGAGTTCCACTGTTGGAAATGCCTCATATACATGAAATCATTTACTGTTGTTCCTTTTGTGACTTGTTTAGTTAATTTAGGAGAAAGGATTATGGTTCAATGATGTAGGTACAGGAGACAGAATTTCCTTCTCTGAATACTATTCCATTGTAGGTTTTCTGGCAAATTCCCATGAAGCATTCATCCAACACACATTGGATTTCTTCCACAGCATAGCTGTTGTTCGTAGTACTGCCATAAATGTAAGAATGCTTGAAGATAGTTCTTCAAGAGTCTGATTTAATTCTTTTACCTAAACACTGGAGAAGGGGTTGCTGAATAGAATAATATTTCTATGTTTAATTTTAGGAAACCCCATACTGATTTCCACAAGTCCAACAACATTAGACATTCCCTCCAGTGTAGCAGGATTCCAATTTCTCCACATACTTGTTAATATACTTACTGTATTGGGAATGTTGTAGAATAGCCAGATACACTACTCCATCTGTCCAATGATTGCAATGAGAGAATGATGACATTGCTGACCAGCATCTCATGCAAACAGGCAATATATTTGGTCTTGGCTAAAGAACTGGAAGATCAAAGAACAATGTCTCTCCCCAGTTCCATGTTCAGCTGGACAGGGTCAACATTTCCAGTTCTCCCCTGCCCAGGCTTCTGAACTTCCGTGGCACACCGCAACACTACCTTTAAAAAAAAATACAAATTTGTTTTCATTAAATCCTCAGCCAGGCTACAAGAAATGCTGTTAGTCTTGAGGCCAATTTTTCTCTTTGAGGTGCCTTTGCAATAAATGAACTCTACTCCTATTAATGTCACCTTGAAAATTCCACATCCCATCTGGAATGTGGAAGCTGAGTGATCAAGTGGGATGTCTTCAATCGGTTTGTACAAACTTTCATTGGGTTCCTCCCTGACATAACATTTAGAGCCCATTAGGATGTAATTGGAGCTCATAATTATATTTATTGATATGTTGGTCTTTCTACTTCAATACCTTTGAGCTTCTAAATTCACAACTGTGTTCAAAGAATCAAAAGGGTTCTCATGTTTCATGTGTTATTTTCTCAGGTGTTAATCTGATGCCACCAGCTTCTTGACTGTTTCCCAATGACACTTCCCCCCAGATTTTCAGGAGGTTGCATTGATGCTTGCATATCCTGCAAATAAGTTTTATCATTTGAGTTGAAGACTAAAGGCTCTGTTTCATTTGAATTCATCAGAAAAAAATATAATATTGGTGTAGAAATTAGTAATATCAATTTTTAATATATTGGACTGGACATTGTTCACATGTTTCCAGCTACATAATGAAACTCAACAACTATTGTACAAGGGTCTCCTTAGAATTCTTCCCCATGTTGTATGTTTCAGAAAGGAATCCTTGGGGTTTCCCAGTGTACTAACTAAAAAAAGAATACTGCAACACCGTAAGAACACTGCTGGTGTATGTTGAGGGCAGGAGAGTGCTTTTGAAAGTCCTAGACATGGAGCCATGTCAAGAGAAACTGGGTCACAAGAGGATGGAAAATCTCAGCTTTTTTGGAGCTGACTTGATTAGAGAAGGAGAAGGAAATACACTGAGAACAGAAAGATAAAGGTTTAAAATGCAAAGCAGAGTATATTCTGATAAGGGTAGAATTGAGTCAAGACCAGTGCCACATGGGTCTGGCCATGACAACTTTGGGCCATTTTTGAAAATGCAAGGGTAGGTGTAGCACCCTTGCATTTCCAAAAATGTAATGTCACATAACTGGAAAAGAGAGAATAATCATAATATTGCTTCACCTGATAAAGAAAAAGCATTCTGTAAATATCATCACATTTTCAATACCCAACACCTTAATAAATGAGGGATGAAGGATTCTCCACACTGCTGCTGATACAGTTCCAACTTACCCACCAGGCAGGGTGCCAGTCCCTGAAACACAGGCTTTCCGAATAGAAAGTTACTGTTCACCAGCAGTTAAGCCCATGATGTGGAAGCAAGCCTTAAATCTATCTCTAGACTGGAGGGATTCCACCTTAGATGTCAGACAAGTCACTTAAGGGATTTATTGGGAGCTGCCACACAGGAATGAACACAGACCCTACTGCTTGAGCAACAGAGGTGTGTGGGACTGGCTTTGGCTCACAGCAGAGAGCAGGTAGATCCCACCCCTGCGGGGCAGAGGAATGATGCTCTGGGAGTGGGCGTCACCCAATGAGACTGGGCTGCACCCCCCTGAAACCCAATCCCTTGCCTCATTTGGGTTGAACTTTCTGGAATGTCTTTTTCCCCCAATAAATAAATAGAGGACTTTCCGGTGGCTCACTCTCTCTTTCCAACGTACCCTTAAGGTGGAGAGCCATCCCTGATCCCTGCAAGCAAAAGGTATTTCTATGTGTTGCGTGCTTCTTTAACTGTTTTCTTAGTTATTGCGGTAGCCAGATTTTGTGAACCCGGCATAGGTCGCCAGCCCGGTTAGTTGGCAATAAGGATTGTTAATGTCATTAGAAGCAGGTCACTAGAACGATGTGCATCTGGATAACTACAGAGGGTATATTCAAACCCATGCAAATTTCATTACTCTCATGAAGAGAACCTATAGAAAGGATGAGGAGGATCAGGGATAATGGGGAAAGAAGATAAGAAAGAAATGGACAGAAAGAAAAGAGGGGAGACAGAAAACAAAATGGAGACGGAAGGGAAGAAGGAAAGACAGAGAAAGATAAGAGGGGAGACAGAAAACAAAATGGAGACGGAAGGGAAGAAGGAAAGACAGAGAAAGATCCCTGACCAAGATCATTGTCTGTGCTGGTTACCCAGGTTAGGACTAGAGTCATCTGCTCATCTCGGTTTGCCTGAGTCTGCAAGACTCCTGTGGCAGAAAGTCCCACAGGCTCATCATGATGAGCCCTCAGGACTTGATAAAACAGGACATATGGCCACCCAGAGATCCATCCATATCTGGCTCGTTCCCGAGTACTGCTTCTGCTTCTACCCTCACTCTCTGGTTCTGCTCTGCTGTGGAAGACCACATGGCAAACATCCTCTTACAATGTGCCTTGAGTAAACCTGAAACATCCAGGTAGAAGCCTTGGTATACAGACAGATGTGTTTACTACTCCTGACTCAGGATCCTCTGGGTAAACACGGGCTTTTCTTCCCTGTGAACACAACAGCATCATGCTCCTCTGACAGATGTTCCCTAATCTGAATACAGACACAGGAACAAAGCTCCAGAGGACCCACTGCCCTGACCCTCCCAGGGCATCAGTAGCCACCACATGATCAGAATGATGATCAGAGCGGCAAGGATACTAATGAGGTGACTGTCTTTCTTTCATCTGGAAATAGTTCCTGTGAGTTATGCCCTCTTAAGAAACAGATTAAACACTTACATTCACAACACTCATCACATTTGCATAACAAATTCTTCCTAGGAAAACACAAACTGAAAATGGAAAATAACATGAACCACAAGAAGGCAAAGGACTGCTGATTGGTGCAAACGTTGGAAGCCCCAAGGATAAAAAGAGCCCAACTGCAAGGAGTCCTCATATTGCACAAACTCACTCACCTGTGAACAGGATCCCACCCTCCACAGCTCACACCATGGCCCGCTCCTGCTGCTCCTCTTGCTGCAAGCCTACCTGCTGCAAGACCATCAGCTGGAAACCAGCCTCTAGGACCAGCTGTGGCAGCACATCCTGCTGTCCACCTAGAAGCTATGGGTCCAGCTCTTGTGGGAAAACCAGCAGTGGGTCCAGCTGCTGCCAGTCACGCTGTCCCCCAACTTGCTGTGAAACCACCTGCTGTAAGCCAGCCTGTGTGGTCAGCTGCTGCAGCACACCCTGCTGTGAGCCCAGCTGCTGTGAACCTTACTGCTGCATCATTCCCTGCTGCCAGCCCTGCTGCTGTGTGTTCACCTGCTGCCAGCCAAGCTGCTGCCAGCCATGCTGCCCTCCTCCTTGCTCTCAAACCACCTGCTGTAAGACCACCTGCTCCAAAAAAACCCATGTGACCCGCTGCTGCTGCAAACCCTGCTGCCAGCCCTGCTTCTGTGTGTGCAGCTGCTGCAAACCTTGCTGCTCATGATCAACTCCATAAAGACCAGCATCTATCTACACAAACTCCTCTCAACCTATTTGCCTTACCTACATCAATTCTCTTCCTACCTGGGCTGAAGATCATCAAGATGTCACCAGATATTCTGTTTATTGTCCCCCATGTAAAAACTTGTGAATCACCTCCAGGGAGTGCAGACCACTCCACACCTGTCTTCTTCTTCCTTCATCCTTGTGCATCTTGTTCCTGCTACATAGGTCCTTATTGGCGAGGTGTGATCTTGGCTGAAATTCTGAAGCCAATATCTTTACCTCTCCATCTAAAGCACATAGGAACGGGCTTCAGAATTTCATAGGTGTATGCAAATGCTTCTTTTTCTTTGGAGTCACGATTTCTTCTGCCTTGTCTTCCATACTTCTATATGCTGCTTTCTCCTGTCATAGTCACCTTCAGTTGCCTCCCTAGGTACAACCAAATTTCTGTGAATTTTTAATAAAAACTGGACCTTTATTCATTCCATGTTGTTTCTCTTTATTTGCCTGTGCTAAGAAACCCTGAAGTGAAATAAGATGCTTAATAGATTTTTAAATGCACTCTATACCACAGATCCTAGAAGTTGTTCATCTTCCATAATTGAAATGACATACAAATTGAAATGCAAGTCCCTACTTCCTTCTACCCCAGCCTCTGCAATCCACCACTTCATTCTTTCCTATCTGAGTTAACCT